GAGCCTGGAGCCTGCTTCGGATTCTGTGTCTCCCTCTCTCTCTGCCCCTCCCCTGCTCGCCCTCTGTCTCTCTCTCTCAAAAGTAAATAAACATTAAAAAATTTAAAGACAGAAGAAAGCACAAAATAAAACAGCATACCCCCCTTGGCTCCCAAGAATGATCCTCTTTGTCTTTATGGCCACTTGGGCCACTTCTTCTATAATCCAGTCATTGGAATCCTTTTTCTGCTGGGGAAGGGAGAGTTGTTTGTGTTTTCCTTATGTGTAGTTTTTTACTGATCTGGTTACTTCTTCATCTCCTGTGAGTGTTGTAATTGTTTTCCCCCAGTGTGGTATTTGTCTCTTAACTTAGTTTACGGTATCCTTGAAGAGCATGGGTTTTTAAACCTCTGAGCTCTCAGTATGGATGTATTTTCTGGTAAGTCGAACTTTCCATGTGTGGAGAGAGAATGACTGTTGTGAGAGGTGACGTGCAGCAAGTCCTGGGAAGGGCCTCCAGGAGGATGAGTCTGAGATGCCAGGCCAGCTATGCCAGAACCCACCACCACTCCACTGGGGAGCCACTTAAAAACAAACACATAGTGAAACAGAAAAAGGGGATTAAGAATACACTGACCATGATGAGCACGGAGAAATGTTTAGACACCATATGAATCACCATATGGTACACCTGAAACTAACATAACACTGTACGTTAACTATACTGGAATTTTTTAAAAAGGTAAATGATGAGGAGGGGCAGGGAAAAGTACACATGAGGTAATAGGGGAGATAATTAAGAGGAAATGGGAACTAAAACATTAAGACTAAGTTAGAAGAAAATGGAAAGAAAAGTTTAAAATAAAAATTAAAAACTCGAAGGCAAAAAAATAATGATGAGGTAAAAACAGATGGGTTTACAATATAGGCTGAAAGACAACAAGGCAGGAGGTGTGGAGGGTGGTGACACTAAGTGGATATTTGCGGAGAAGTCGTGGCACCAGGCGCAGCTCCTGGGGGCTTTGCTTGCACCAGATCGCTTAATCCTCACAACACCTTATAAAATGGGAACTGTTACTATCCCCAAATTACAGATGAGCAAACTGAGGCACCGAGAGATGACAATAATTTTCCCAAAGTTGCTCTACAGATAAATGGTGGAGCTGGGATTTGGTGGGGACAAAAGTTAAAAAGCAAATGAATCCAAAAACATAAATGAATGGGCTTGAGGAAAAAAAAAACTGGTAATTAAATATTAAAGGTAGAATTTTTAAACCTAAAAGCCATGAAAAACAAAGGAATATGAAGGATTTTTTTTTTCCTTAGGAAAGTAAAAGCAGAGAATCTTGGAAAGAAATTAAGAACAGTCTAAAGGAATGCGAGTCTCTAATTACACTCGAGGGGAAGGTTCAACTTCTGGTAGGCAGGAATCCTGTGATGAGGTCAGAGACAGGAGATAGGAAGATGAAGGGTGTCCTTTGTCCTTTTCTGGTATCTGGAGACTTATATCTTCAGGGCCATCCCTTCCTGCACATTCATGGGTGCCTGGATGTGGCTTTGTGGGGGTGGAGCGGGATTGGGGTTATGTTAGCAGCACCTGCTGTTCTGGAAATTTCCCAACCTCTCTCTTCCCCACCTTGGGGGTCATGCCTGAGGCAGGGAGGGTACCGTGGAGGAAGAAGGAACACCTGAAGTGTACCCTGGGCTTTGCTGGATGGAGAGCCATCCTGAGCTCAGAGTGTGGGAGGACCCACCTCACCAGACTCTCTCACCCATACAGGTGCCAAGGTTGCCAGCCGAGGGGGTCACCTGGAGCGCATATTTGTGGTGGAATTTCGCCCTGACTCGGACACACAATTTGTGTCTGTCGGGGTCAAACATATGAAGTTCTGGACCCTGGCAGGCAGTGCCCTGCTTTACAAGAAAGGGGTCATTGGATCCATGGAGGCTGCCAAGATGCAGACGATGCTCTCCGTGGCCTTCGGTGCTGTGAGTTCCAGCAGAAGCTTCCTGAGAGGGGACCCTGAACCCCGGGCATGGGCATGGGGGGCACAGATAGCCACAAAGCTACAAACAGCAAGAAAGCTATTTCCACATTTTCACCTTTATTGGCTTACTTGCAACCTTTATTCCTTTATCCCTTTCCTTAGCACAGAAGGTCAATTTGAGTGTGTTTCTCTTTCTCTAGTTCTAGTTCCCTAACCAAGGAGCAGGTGGTTGGGAGGGACCCTCTTGAGAGGTGCTGTGAGTGTCCTAGTGTGAAAGGTGTCCCTTTGTTTACAGAACAACCTCACTTTCACGGGTGCCATCAACGGAGACGTCTACGTGTGGAAGGACCACTTCCTCGTCCGACTGGTGGCCAAGGCTCACACGGGCCCTGTCTTCACAATGTACACGACCCTCCGGGATGGACTCATAGTGACCGGTGGCAAAGAGCGGCCGTAAGGCGAAACTCCTCTGGGAACAGCTGATCTTTTCTTATTGTGCTGGGAGAAACTGACAGAAGCATCTCCCACTGGGAGAAAACGCGGATTTTCTTTCCCCCATCTTGCCTGCATCAGGGAGATGAGTCTGCCATCTCTCCAAGAGGGCCCTGGGCAAAAACCTTCAGAGTACAAGTCAGAGAAGGAGAGAGGTGGTTTAATGGTAGTGGAAAATCCAGAGAGGTGTTCTTGAATAGACTCGAGTGACTATGCTCTTCATCGAGTGTTACTTCCCGTAGGTCTCGGGGACGGGAGGACGGAGAGGCGGGGAGAGAAGTTCCCCTGGGGACAGAGATGTAAGAAGGAAGCAGAGCAGCAGAGAAACGTTTCTCTTCGTGTTTGATCTAATCAAGACACGGTTTGGTATTTTAGATCACAGTCCTCTTTCCTTCTGCCATAGTGGCATTTGAAAGTATTCTAGTGAAATGGTTGTCACTACCCGTTGGCAGGGCCAAAAAAGAAGCCACCCTGGAGGGTCTGTCCTGCTGGGACCCGGTGGCCTTGATGATAGGGACAGGGGACATGGAGCATCAAGGGCAAGTCTTAGGACAAGGCCCCACTTGCCAAGGTCCTCTCACTCCTTTTTAGGACCAAAGAAGGAGGTGCTGTGAAATTGTGGGACCAGGAGATGAAGCGCTGCCGGGCCTTCCAGCTGGAGACGGGGCAGCCGGTGGAGTGTGTGCGCTCTGTGTGCCGCGGCAAAGTGAGTGGGCGGGCCGGTCTTTCCCCAGCTGTCCCTAGGGGGCTGGGCCCGGAAGGGGCCCAAGAGAGAGAAGGAGTTCAGCCATACTCTTTCCCTGTGCCCAGGTGCTAAATCCTTAAAACAGGCTTCCAAGGTGCTACTTGCACTGCGGTGGGAGTCGGCTTAGCAGGGTCCCACAGAGCCAGGCGCAGACTCTTCTGAGTCAGCACTGGCTGTATGACCTTGGGTGTGTTACGTACCCTTTCTGTGTCCAGGCGGGTGGTTGTGAGGGTCCCGTGCGTTATAATGCGCGATGCCTTCCATTATGCCTGGCTCAGAGCCACATTCTGTGGATGTCAGCTGCTACTGTTATAGATGTGATTATTACTGTAGGCACAGAGATAGTAAATAATTTGCCATGCGCACGGTTACATGGTCAGTAAGGGGGGACAGTAAAGGGCCATCAAACTGTCTGACTCAAAGCCATAGTTTGTCAAGTCCTACCTGGGCTGAATATCAGAAACAACTGTGGAGTTGTTTCTTGTTGTTGTTGTTTTTAGTATATGGCTGTCCATGTACTTACCCAGAGCTGCCAAATCAGAGTCTTAGCCATGAGTTGTGTGTTCCTTTTCTTCTTTTCTTTTTTTAATTCCCCAAGAAATTCTGAGGTCCTTAAAAAAACAAATCTCAACCTCTGGTTCATACCCTGTGTCTATAGTTTTGAATTGTTAGCAGTCTAAGAATGTGCCTTCTGGATGTTCCCCATTGAAAAAGGCAGACCTGACTTAGAGTCTCCATAATTAGAAATCGAGAGCTTTGTTTTTAGATAGATAAATACCAGTCATCTGGTAGGTAGGCAGACATCTGGGAGATGAAGGCAGAGGTAGGCCCGGAATGTGGAAGTCCTCAAGAGATGGCTCGTTGTTCAGTGCGAGGAAGAATTTGGGAAGACATTGAACGGTCCAACAACAGAAACGGACTACCCCACTCTGTCATGAGCTTGCCGTCAGTGGAATGTTTTGGCAGAGACCAGATGATGGCAGTCTTTGTGCCGACACTCTCATCCATGGCTGAGGGAGAAAAGGAAAAGTGAGGAGGTCACGGAAGGGCGGGCGATTTTGTTGTTAACAACACAACCTGTCCCGGCTCTTCCGGCGTTAATACCATTGCCAGCAGGGGCCACTTTCCCACATTGCTCTAATAGTGTTTGCCTTTAAGTTATTATTTAAAAATACAAATCTTATTTTTTACCTATTTTCATCCATTTGCCTACCAATCTCTCACCTACTAGATTCCTAATAGATCATAAAAATGTTTCATTTTAAATTGTAGCAAAATATAAGTAACATAAAATTTACCATTTTAGCCATTTTTAGGTGTACACTTTAGCGGTATAAAGTACATTCCCACTGTCGTGCAGGCATCGCCACCATCCGCCCACAGAACATTTTGCGTCTCGTAGAACTGAAACTCCTTAGCTATGAAGTCCTCACTCCCCTTGCCCCTCCCCCTCCCCAACACTCAGCAACCACCGTTGGACTTTCTTCTACATGTTGGACCAGGTGCGCCATAGGAGTACTATCATACAGCGTCTGTCTTTTTCCTAATAATGTTTTTATGACAACAGGGGAAAATTTTAGTAGGAACCAAAGACGGAGAAATAATTGAAGTTGGTGAAAAAAATGCCGCTTCTAACATCCTGATTGATGGGCACATGGAAGGGGAGATCTGGGGTCTGGCCACACACCCCTCCAAGGACATCTTCATCTCTGCCAGCAACGATGGCACAGCCCGCATCTGGGACCTGGCCGACAAGGTGAGGGGTCCACTGTGCTCTGATGCCCACAGGTGGGGCCTGGCCAGAGCCCAGAGTGAGGAGGGTTGGATCCAGAGTTGGGGGATGCGGTGGGTCTGCAATTAAGTTAGAAAGCCCGGTGATGAAAGTCCCACTCACACACGCCCAATCTGTCTGTTAGCTGCATATACCCACGTGTAACTACAGGACAGGAATAATCTGGAAATGAAGTTTCTTTGTTGTAAAAAAAATCCACAAAACCTAAAAAATAAAGAGATATGTCTTCCCTGGATGGGAAGACTAAAAATGACTTAAAATTTCAAATGTTCCCAAATAGGACATTTCAGTCAAAACCCCAACAAAGTTCATTGGGGCACCTGGGTGGCTCAGGCGGTTGAGCATCCTACTTCAGCTCAGGTCATGAGCTCAGAGTTCCTGAATTCGAGCCCCGCATTGGGCTGTGCTGACAGCTCAGAGCCTGGAGCCTGCTTCGGATTCTGTGTGGCCCTTTCTGTCTGCCCCCTGCCCCACTCGTGTGCGCTCTCTCTCTCTCTCTACTCTCTCAACTATAATAAACATAAACAAGCACAAAAATAAATCCCCAATAAAGTTCCTCTTGGAGTTTGGAAAAAAAATAATTTAAAAAATTCATCTTGAGTAAAAAAATAGCAGGAAATAGGGTTGGGCCCGGGGCGGTAATTGTTACCATGTCGTATCTGATAAAAAAAAGTAAGTTCTAATCATTAAAATAGTTGGGTTCATTACAAAATAGCCAGTAAATATTTCAGTCATATTTTTAGTGTGAGGATCAAAGAACAGACTCACGGTATAGTTGTTTTACTCCAGTTACTTTTCAAAATTGTTTGTGTATTATGAACACTGGCTATCACTTATTGAATACCTGCTATACACCAGATGCTTCATATACACGATCATTAATGCTTACAATAACCTTGCAAGACTGGTATTGATATCACTTCTTTTCAAGTGGGAAAATGGGGGGGGGGTGCCTGGGTGGCTCAGCTGGTTGGGGTCTGACTTCAGCTCAGGTCACGATCTCACGGTTCGTGGGTTCAGTCTGCATACCGGGCTCCACACTGATGGTGCGGAGCCTGCTTGGGATTCCCTCTCTCTCCCCACTCTCTCCCTCTCTTTCTCCCTCTCCCCCTTTCATGCTCTCAAAAATAAATAATAATAAAAAGTTCAAATGGGAAAATGGGGAAGTAACTGACACAAACACACCCAGCCAGTAGTGACAGACAGGATTCAGGATTTGAACCAAGAGGTGCCAAAGCTTAAACTCTTTTCTCTGAGCAAGAGGTCAGCAGTCTAAGACTGGGGGATCCAGTCTGGCCTGCCGCCTGTTTCTACAAAGTAAAAGCATGCTCATTGTTTACATAGTGTCTAGGTTGTGGGAGATCATATGGACCACAGAGCCTACAATGTTTACTACCAAACCATTTACAGAAAAAGTTGACCAGCCTCTGTCCAAGCTGTTCTGATGAAAACGTACTGCCCATCTTGGTTCCTCAGGGACAGTTACTATAAGAAGCAAGACGTTTGGAGGCCCAAAGTGGCAGCAGAGACGGCCTGACTGCTCTGGCCTGGGTGCAGGATTTCCCTTGGAGACCAGCCAAGAAGGCCTAGGGCTTAGGTCATGCTACTTTGTATCTATGTAGAAACTGCTTAACAAGGTGAACCTGGGCCACGCGGCCAGATGTGCAGCCTACAGCCCTGACGGGGAGATGGTGGCCATTGGCATGAAGAATGGAGAGTTTGTCATCTTGTTGGTGAACAGCCTGAAAGTCTGGGGGAAGAAACGAGACCGGAAGTCTGCTATCCAAGATATCAGGTACATAGCAGGTCGTCTGGGCAGGGAAAAGAAGGGCACCTCCTTCGTTCTCCTTCTCTGTGGTTACCTTTCTGGAAGGGTCATGACTGGAGTGAAGAATTCAGATGTGGGAGGGTCCCTTTCAACGATCCAGCCGTGGAAGGAGACTCCCTCACACATTAATTCCCAGACATGTCTTTGCTAAGTTCCACGAAGAGTGTGGTTAAAAACTGCGTGTACGACGCCATTCTGCATAAGGCTACGTGCATCCACTCCCGTACTTCCATGGGATTGGATGCAGAGAAATTGCTGAACTCCCTAGAATGCTAACCACGTGTGAGTCATGAAGTGAGATCTCATTGCCTTTGAGCTTGGGAGGCCCATTCCAGAGCAGACCTGACTAGCCCTTCTCACAGACCATGCTCTTGGATTGCTTTTTCTAGAATCAGCCCAGACAGCAGATTCTTAGCCGTTGGTTCTTCTGAACACACAGTTGACTTCTATGACCTCACTCAGGGCACAAGCCTGAACCGCATTGGCTACTGCAAAGATATTCCAAGCTTTGTCATTCAGATGGATTTTTCTGCGGATGGCAGATACATCCAGGTATGTCTCAGCTTTGCTAATATCTGGGGCAACCAAGAATCATCACCATTATCGTAACAGCAACAGCGGTGGCTTATATTAATTGAGGGCTTGCTTTGCGCCAGGCTGTGCACCCATCTCCTCTTTATAGGAATGTTTCCAGTATTGCAACTTTTCCCCTCCCTTATAAATGAAGAAGCAGGGGCCTAGAGAACTTAAAAATATTGAAGAAATACAATTTTTAAAGTAAAGTTGTCCTTCAGTAAGAGACGCAAGCAGCTCAAGCCCTGATAACTTTAACCCTCCTTTTACTTCCTCCCTTTGAAAGCTTCCTAACCTCTGGTTCTCCAGGGCTACACCTAAGCCCACGTGGCTTCTCATATTTAGTCATTTCACTTGCAAGTCTGGTGGGGGTGTGTGTGTGTGGCCCGTCCACACTTGGGGTCTGGATGCCAGACACCAAGCCTGGAGTGGGGGCTCCTCACTGGGTCCCAACTGACAGGTTGGAAGGGATAGAGAGGGGTCCCACCATTGGGACTTACAGCTGACAAGAGAACAATGTCTTGTCCAGCACTCCGAACAAATATTGTGCATTAGTGAGCTGGCCTGGAGTGAATAACCCATTGTGAAATGAGAGGGGACCCATTCATTGATTATTTACTGAACCAGGCGCTGTGCTAGGCTTTTGGATGGATAGGATGGGCCTGGTCACTGCTCTCCTGTAGCTTCCCTATAAGGGAGAAGACAAGCATCGAACAGATAACCACAAAATATACCTATAATTACAAATTGTGATTATGTGCTGCAAAGGAAAAGTACAGGGTGCTGCGGGAGCATTTAACAGTCGCTGAATTTAGATTCACTTCCTCTCCACACAAGTGATATTTAAGCTGAGGCCGGTGGGATGTGTAGGAGTTAGCCAACAAAGAGAGGTGGGAACATTGTTCCGGGCCATCTGTATGAAGGCCCTGAGGTGGGAAAGATCTCAGCTTTCCATGAAAAGCAAGAAAACCTAGGGTGGCCAGGCTAGAGACACCCACAGGAGTAGATGGGGCTGGTGATTTTCTAGAAAATGCTTATCTCCCCCTAGAACATTCCCAAAGAAGCAAAGGTCAGGTCCTAGATGGTTCCAAACTCAGGTACATCGGTTGCCGTCTGTGAGAAAATTCACCTACATCTGTACCAAAGGATCTGTTTGTCCAAGAACAGGGACTCCCAAACTTAAGTGAGGATCACAGATCACCCGGCGGCTTTGTTAAAACACAGATTGCTGGGTCCCACCCTCAGAGTGTCTGATCTGGTAGGTCTGGGGTGGGGCCCAGGAATATGCATTTCTAACAACTTTGCAGATGATGCTGAAGCTGCTGGTCAGGAACCACATTTGGGGAACTGCTGCCTTAGGATTTTGGAAAAGAGCCAGAAAATGAATGGAAAACCGTCCTGCTCATGTGAATTTCGCTATAGGCTGACCACAGGTTTTGCAGCCTCAAGCTGAACTTGGGTTTGTTGAAGAGTTGTAGGGATCCAGAGGCTTGGCCAGTGTTCTGGGGAAATAGTACACCCAAAGGGGGGCCCTTTGGCCTGGAGAGAAAGCTGATGGACATGGTTGCCTCTTTCTCCTCGCAGGTGTCAACAGGAGCCTACAAGCGCCAGGTGCATGAGGTACCCCTGGGGAAGCGGGTCACTGAAGCCGTGGCCATTGAGAAGATCACCTGGGCCTCCTGGACAAGGTGACTGGAGGAAAACACTTTTTTTTTTGTAATGTTTATTTATTTTTGACAGAGAGCACGAGTAGGGGAGGGCAGAGAGACAGACACAGAATGCGAAGCAGGTTCCAGGCTCTGAGCTGTCAGTACAGGAGCCCGACACGGGGTTTAAACTCATGAACTGTGAGATCATGACCTGAACCAAAGTCGGACGCTTAACCGACGGAGCCACCCAGGTCCTCCTGGAGGAAGACACTTCTTAAGGAAAAGATCACAAAGAAGTTTCTTAGGCCAGACTCAGCCTCCAAGTTTGTATGTGGCCCAGATGTAAAAAAAAAAAAAAAAAAAGCTCAGAGATAGAGCTGTCTTGTCTTTGGGGACTGGGGGCTGGGGGCAGGAGGCTTCTTGAATCTGGGCTTTTGAAATGCAAAGCCCTCCCTTTTGTGTAATCCCTTGGTCCTACATCTGCAAACTCACCAAGCATGTTCAAAGGGAAATTACCTCCCAGCTTTTGGCTCAGCCCTGGTGCACTGCAGTGGAGGCCTCCAGTCGCCAGGAGGGACGGGAGGGTGGGAGGGCCCCGCATTGCCACTTAGCAGGATAAGGAGCAATGCGTTGCCAGTTCAAGGGAAAGGACACCACCAAGCTGTGAGCTTGAAGGTGCCCAAGCATATACACATCCAAAAGGACTAGAGGGCGGAGGGAGTGAATCAAAAATGGAGGGAACTTTTCTCTTGGGGTGCAAAGGAGGGGGGCAGAGCAGAGCAGTAAGAGCTAGGTCAATGCACAGGGGGGCAGGGGACAGAAGAGACACATGATCATAGCCAGTGATGCAAAATAGCCCTCTCTTCTCCTTATCCCTGGGAGGGGACACCTGACCACAGGAAGCCTTCTCATGCATCTCCTTCTGACACCTCTTCTTACTCAAAACAGCATTCTGGGGGATGAAGTCATTGGCATCTGGCCACGAAATGCGGACAAGGCTGATGTCAACTGCGCGTGTGTGACCCATGCTGGCCTCAACATTGTCACAGGAGATGACTTTGGGCTGGTGAAGCTCTTTGATTTTCCGTGCACAGAAAAATTTGTGAGTCTTCCTCAGAGGAACTCCCTACACGGCCTCCAGGCTCTTTCCTGTAGTCTGCAGGAGGCAGTGGCCATATCTAGATGGCCATCGAGAATCTAGAGCAAGAGGAATCTTGTTCCAGTCCTGTGGAGATTTGGGGACCCCTAACTTTTGCATCTCCCTTTGGAGGGGAAGTTCTGGAAGCAGGGAGAAGGGAGGTTGGGAGGGGTACAAATTGGCCATCCCAGGCAAGAATGGGACAGGAAAACCCATCAGTGAAAGGTTGGCTAAAAGAAATGTGCAGACGAAATGGGAATCCCGAGTGGAGGATTCTGGGACGGGGAGATTTGAGTCCTGGAAGTAGTCTGTGGTTTCCAGGAGGAGCAGGGTCTCAGCGGTCTCCATTCACTTTTGCTCACAGGCCAAACATAAGCGTTACTTTGGCCACTCAGCTCACGTGACGAACATCCGTTTCTCTCATGATGACAAGTATGTGGTCAGCACTGGAGGAGACGACTGCAGGTATGAACATGACTCACCTGCTCTGGTTCCCTGGGCCTGGTTGTTACTCCCTCTTCCTGTCCCCACATCAGGTGTCCCATGGGACACAGGGAGGGGCTGACATCATAGTGACAACAAGGACTTGTCATGTATGGTCTGGTGACTCTGAACCCAGGTCTTGAAGGGCCCGTGTCCCCAGTAGAGCTGTCCTGGGATTGGTGAGAAGGGGAGGACAGGATTCCTCCTCTGAACATTGCTGGGTGGAGGGACAGATGAGTAAGGGACTCCAGGTGGCTGATTTCAGTAGGACAACCCAAGGCATCATTGCATATAATCAGGTTAAAATGGCCTTGATCCATAGGTCTTTTAACTCATAACTTCCAGCTGATCACCAGGGTTCTTAAGATGGGTGATTAGGGGGGCCTGGGTGACTCAGTCAGTTAAGCATTGGTTAGGTGTCCCAACTACTGATTCTACCTCAGGTCATGATCTCACAAGTTGTGAGATCAAGCCCCATGTTGGGCTCCATGCTGAGCATGGGGCCTGCTTAAGATTCTCTCTCTCCCTCCATTCCACCCCTGATGGAGAGCACTCGCAGGTACTCTCAAAAATATTAAAAAAAAAAAAAAAAAAAAAAAGCCTCAGTCACCGTGAGAAATAAGGGTGTCACCCAGTTTTACATGAGATCTGGTGAGAAGTCAAGCCATTAGGCCCAGTGCTAGTTAGTAGCAGGAGATCCTCAACCAGCTATTTGGACTGGGCTGCTTTTAACCTTAACTGCTGCTGAGTGTTAAACAGGCACATGTTCCGTGCGAGGTGTGACTGGCCTTCCAGTGATTTGGAAGGACCCTTACCAGCCTGCTCCAGAGATGACATCAGCCTCTTCAGCCTTTCCAAGAAGGCCACTTTCTCTTGTCCCTCCAAGTGCATTCCTTATTTGGATTGTGGAGGAACAGGACAAAGTCATTCCTGAATCTCTCATTCTCCACCTCTAATGTAGTTGAAGGGCTTTACTGCAACATGAATATAGGTTTCTGTTCAGCCCAAGCAAAACTCTTGGGGGGGACAAAGAAGTGTAGCAATCCCGATATATATGTATTTTTAAAGTTTATTTATTTATTTAGAAAGATAGAGAGCCTGGGAGGGGCAGAGAGAGAAGATAGAATCCCAAGCGGACTCCGTCCACACTGTCAGTACAGAGCAGAGCCCGAGGTGGAGCTCAAACCCATGAGCTGGAAGATCATGACCTGAGCCAAAATCAAGAGTCGGACACTTAACTAACTGAGCTGCCCAGGTTCCCCCAGATATTTTTAGTGGTCTGAGAGAGGTTGTGGAAAAGGCACCTGTAGAGAATGTCAACCCACTTCCTATCCAAAAGCATGGTGTAGAAAATGGCCCCCAAGGACGCTGATAGCCCGTGGGAGAGCACCATCTCCAGTCCGCTGTGCCAACAGCGGCTGGCACTTAGAGCCCTTGAGATAATACTGCCAGCAGCTCCCTGTGGAGTGGAAACACCCATTGAAAGCAGCACCCGCCAGACTGTGAACAAGCCAGCAATAAGTGAATTGAGATCCGAGGTGACTTTTGATTACGATGAAAGGCTTAGAAGTAACCTTTAAAATGCAGGACCCCTAGGCCTTTGTAGTCCTGGGAGCCTATTCTGATCCCTGGCTCTATGTTGAACACTAGAAAGGGTTCTCCTACTCAAGTGGAGTTGATAGAACCTTTTCAATAGTAACAAGAGAGATAGTGTGAAGTCAAATTGCCAAAAGTCCTTACATTCAGCACATTCAGGCTGCTGAGAACCAAACAAAACAGAAAACAAGAACTTTTTTAAAAAGCAATAGATCTTTATTATTTTTTTTTAATGTTTATTTGTGAGAGAGAGAGAGAGAGCGCGTGCACACGAGTGGGGAAGAGACAGAGGGAGACACAGAATCTGAAGCACGCTCCAGGCTCTGAGGTGTCAGCACAGAGCCTGACGTGGGGCTCAAACCCACAAACCGTGAGATCATGACCTGAGCCGAAGTCCGATGCTTAACCAACTGAGCCAGCTAGGCGCCCCCCAAAAACAAGCAATAAATCTTTAATTGGTGACAAGATCCCCGATTTGCCTTTAGAAGTTGAAATGTCCAACACATATCAGCTAAGCTGGACTCAAGAGCACTTGGTAAGATTGTTTTTTGTCACTTGACAAAGTTATGATGCCCAGCCACGCAAGATGACGGTCTGATCTGCCTTTTCAGTGTGTTTGTGTGGCGATGTCTGTAAATGCCGGAACCCTCTTTATTGCTGCTGCTGCTACCACCCAGCAACTGCAGGGGCAGTGACGAGGCCCCTCGTTGCCACCAGCTGCTGGGAAAGGCCTACGCTGCGGGCCACACAAGTTCCAAGTGCTAGTGAAGTGGGGTGACTGCTCCCAGACTCTGGAATCTCCAAAACTGTGATGCCAAGAAGGTCAGTTCTAAAATGTTAAGAGTGCTTTCCTCTGTTCCTGAGACTATACTGACCACAATGACAAAAAAAATCCTGCTAATGTAGCCCACCAACGAAATTTAAAGCCTCAGTTACCCTGACCAATATGTAGCTTTTAATTTGCATCAAAACTTTTACAAAAGATGTTTTGCTATTATGTTTCTATATACTTTAAAAATGTTCATTTTTACAAATGAGTTGAACAAGACAGCTTAATTTAGATGCGCTAAAGCACTAGAAATATTGATAGCCTCAGTTCTCCACATTTAGCTTTCAAAACCAAATGAGCCATGTACAAACAAGTTGAGAAACTTAATTTTTTAACATTTCATTTGCAGAGTTTTATATCCATTAAGTGCCTTTGAAAGTTTCCAGTTGTGTGGGCTGCTGTCTCCCCTCCCACAAATTATCTCCTTTCTACATATGGTGCTAAAACTTCAAAACTGAGGAGGGCTACAGGACCCTTAACAGATTCCTGGTCTGTCACCCATGTCATGTGTTTATGTCGAGGCTTCCTAAATGACATCAGTTCCCTGCTTGAGAAGTAGTGGCAGGTGAGCAGCAAAGAAACTTAAATTCAGGAGGGAGGGGGTAAAAATGGGTTTTCACTGTTTAGTGCCAAACCTACAAAATCCAAAATAGAAGTAAAATTAACCTCTACTACAAAATAGTAGGAAAAAAAAGAAAAAAAAAAGCTCAAGTGGGTCTAGGATTAACGAACTCTTAATCCTAATAAATGCGGGGACCCAAGGCTGCACGGGGTCTACCACCCAGTGGGGCTGACTTGACACCACGGATTTGTTCAGGTGAACTGATCTAGGTCAAGTCCAGATAAAAAGAAAAAAATCTCAGCAGAACAAATTCCTAAGCCCAAGCAATATTTGAAAGATTATTCAACAAAAACAGGCTAGCTTGGCGTTCGTCAGAGCTGGCTAGATGACACAATGTGACCTGGACAGTATTAACCAGACGACATCCCTGACCTGCCTCACTCCTACTTCACACTTGGCTCACCACTGACTCCAGGAGGGGCTGACAGCACACACCGCGAGGAAGGCTGGTGAGGGCCTGGGGACTCTGAGCACACGTGCACCCATCAGTCCTTCCCATCAGTGAACCAAAATTCTGGGTCTTGAGTTTCTGGCTATTTGCAGTTGTCAGTTTAGCGACAGTGAAATGAAGCATTTTCAATTAAACAGATTACTAACATTTACCCCAGAAGTGCTTCAGCATTCTAAATGGATTAGATCACCAATGAAGCTATTTTTATATGCCAAGTTATGAATGCCTTACATTAATCCCCTGATAGGCTGTCGGGTCCCCAGTTAAGAGTCCCTGTGCAGTCCTGATTCTGTTTTCTGTAACCATGTAACTGGCGATGCTGAGTGATGACCATGTCTGCCTACACTGTACCACCGACCTTTCATAATAATCAGATCTTGTATTGAAATAACCACGTGGAAATAAATTGATCAATGAGGATATGTACAACTATATTTAAAGAGCAATAGTGTCTGTGTCAAGAAAACTTCTTAAATCTTATTTGTAAACATTTATATGGTATGATTTTATGTATGTTTATCCTGCACTGTGTTCTATATGTTAAAATATTGGTGCATGAATTTATTTTCAATTAGCAAAGTATAAAAAATACATAATTTGAAAACATTTTGTATGTGTCAAATAAATTTGATTATGTAAACACAGCTGCACTACGCACTGGAAAGCTTTCTAAGAGTACAAGCCACGGCTCACTAGTTGAAGCAAAGTCTACTGTGTGTATACTTTTAATCTGGTGCAGTTTCATGGAGCCAAAATACCAAACATATTTTGTCTATAAGCTTTATTGATACTTTGCTTTTACAGTTCACAATGCATTCCACAGATTCAGTACAGCTTAAACCACAAATGTATAAATCTTCATTTTATAATTTTTTGCATAACAAGGTTTGATATTTGCAAACAACGTTTTTGGAAGCATTAGATTCAGTCCATAGATTCAGAGTCTGTGACAAAATGAACTACAGTAAGTCTGTGCAATGAAGTTTATGCTGAGGAGTTCTATGTGCATGGCATCGTTTCATGTTGAAAACAGATGGTAGTGCTCCTAGAAATAGATTTTCTTTTATGTGCTTTGGAACTACACATGTATAACCAATGACTCTCTGAAATATCAAGCACTGTGGGGTAGCCGGAAGGTAAAGGTCTAAGCTTTGTGAAACACTATATATAGATATATATATAATCTATATTTACTTATATTGGCAATTAATATAACAGTAAGATTCACAATACACCTAGAACATACCAGAAAGGCAAGCTTTTTCACTCTTGCTTTAGTGGTATGATCTCGTCTAAACATTTCATTTCAGAAAATCTGCATCAATCTACACAGACCATACACAGTGCACAAACTGTGAAAAGGATTATTTTTTTCAGCTTCACTTTCTCTGCAATTCCCAAAAAACAGCAAGACTACCTGCAACAAAGTGTAATGTACAGCTTTCTCAGATCTTTTTCTATTCACCAGTGCCTCGTATCGGAAAAACAAGTATGATTACGGTTTAAATCCATACATAGCAGCTTACAATACTTAAGATGATGAACACATGGCAGTCAAGACAGGTAATTTTCCTCAGACACCGCATTGCTAAAAATAAAGATCTGTGAAACTGCAATGTCAAGGTTTCCTTCTTCCCTGACCCTCCCCCATGTAATCAAACGAATATCCCCTTTTAAAGATAAACTATTGTTAATGATTTCTGGCTTTTTCATTCAGCTTTGCGCTTCAATCCAGGGATTTTCGCTTGGATTCTACAAATGGAAAGGTTGGGACAAAAGGTCAATATAAATATTTTTAAATTTTAAGTATTTTAAAACGCTATCCTTCAAGAACTACTTGTATATTGCTCAGCTTGTACAAGAAATGAATCTTAAGGCTGTCAAACTACAAGCTGTAATTATGCCACTTTGCCTGATGAATTAGATTTAAACAAAGCCTTAAATACAACAAAAAGCAAACAGAAATCAACGATTCCAAATGTAGAGAAAAATCGTGTGGCAATACTGTCGCACTTTTTAAGTGTGATTAAGATTTGCTACCCATTATGTCTAGAAGATGAAAATACAAAGTCCAGTACACCTTGTCCTTAGTAAAAAAGAAAACAAAAGTTGCAGATTTTAAGTACTTACTTAGCCATAGCATCTTTAACATTCTTGTTTGCAAGTCCTAGATAATGATCTATCTGCGCCTGAAAGAGAGGTATAAAGGAGTTACTAGAAAATTAACGTTGGTAGAGTCTTATTAACCGTTACTCTGTTCCGGCAAATTAAGGGCTTAATAAAGGCTTAAGAAACCACGTTCTTCATATTTATAAGGCTATGGAAACTGGCAATAATACATCTGTTTGAAGTAATAAAGTGAGACTTGTATCCTGAAATCTATACTTAAGAAATTACCTGATGCCGTTCATAAATAACAGGAACGCTGAAGAGTGAAATCAGAGCTGAAAAAGGAAATACACAGCCTTTAAAATCGACTGGGAGGTTTAGGGAACAAACACGGAAAATGGTAAACTCTTAAGATAGCTAGGCAGTGTTCCTAACGAATGAATAAATACACAAGGATCTCCTGGAGGCACCTGCTGGTGGGGAACCACTGCAGAGCAGTGAGTGACTTAACCAAGGGATGCTGCAGGAACCACTCCTAGCTTAAAATCACGTCACACAGACCTTATAAAATACAGGCATCCAAGGTTAGTGTGATTTATGCCTGCACCATCAGATGAGGCCAGCCCCCATCTGGTTTATCACTATTAACTGGAGCATTCTTCAGGAACTAAAGTAGCAATTCAATACACAGTATCAATATCAGCAATTTAGCTGAAGAGATCACAACCTCAAATATACGTCCTGTCTTCCCCACAACATAAGAATTCTCTCCACTACAATGTCTCTTGGGGTGCCGGAATGGCTCAGTCTGTTGAGTGTCTGACTTTGGCTCAGGTCATGATCTCATAGCTTGTTGAGTTTGAGCCCCTCATTAAGTTCTGTGCTGACAGCTCAGAGCCTGGAGCCTGCTTCAGATTCTGTCTTCCTTTCTCTGCTCCTCCCCCACTCTCTCTCTCTCCCCAAAATAAACAAACATTACAAAAAAATCCTTTAAAATGTTTTTAAGCTCCTACACACAATCATCTTTTATTGTACAGTTTTTCATTCAAATAGTTTTATAGACTTACCCAAAATCAGTAGTGTCAGACCATTGAACAAGGCACCAACATAGGTAAATACCCACATCAACACTGCAAACTGTAAGAAAATAACATTAGCCTATTAAAACCACAATTCACATGAAGTTGAAGCTTTCAAATAAAAGCATCCCATCTAACGGCCAACCTACTAGAGGCCTAATCGTTGGAGATTTGGTACATATGGAGATTTCATCTTGAAGTCACCAGTCTCAATTCAAAATTTCAGAATCCTAATTAAAATAGATTTGATTCATTTTGTCTGGGCTACACTACCAAGTAGTTGATTCAATTTTCTCTGAGATCAGAAAACATGCCAAAGGTATACCTTCCTCCTTCAACTTTAATACAGCATTTAGCTTTTACATGGGAAGACTGAAAAGGGATGAGAATTTGCTATTAAACCTGATTTTAAAGCACTAAAAAGTACTTCAGATCCACATGAGCTGAATAATTCAGACATTAAAATCTCAGACATCTGAATAAGTAACAGTGAAGCAGGAGTACTTATGATCAGTGAGAATGGGTTTCAGGTACCAAAATTACCAGCTCTGGCATTTTATAAAGGAACAGAAGCACTGGCTGCCGAGTGATACATGTTTTAATAGCCACAGTTAACCCTGGGAATGAGGATGTCTCAAACTTGTATATATATTAATAAAACTATTATTATTCTTCTGGTCACTGCTTTCTTTATTTAACAAACACCAATATAGTTCTTACTATATTAGTGCCAGGCACAGTTTTAAATGCTTTACAAATATTAACTCATTTATTCCTCTTAACTTGATGAGGTGGGTGCTATTATTACCACAGCAGATACAGACAACTAGAGAATAAAGAGTTTTAATACCTTGCTAGCAGTCAGATTTCACTGTCCTCTTTACGGGTAGGGGACTGCAGTGAATTAACTAAACTCTCCTACTTCAGTAATCATGGTCTTAAAATCTAGGGGTGTGTGTGTGTGTGTGTGTGTGTGTGTGTGTTTTAAATCATCAAATAAAGCAGTTTGGGAAAGGCTCTTCTAAAAAGAGATTTCATTTTGAGAAGTCCTTTGTTTCCTCTTCATACTTTATTCATGAAAGGCTGGACAAGAGGACTGTAGAGTTTTCTTTCCATTCTAAAATTTGGTGACATCATATAGTACAGACTCAATGACATGATAGAAACAGTTCTTGGAAGACTTAAAACACAAAGTCAGTCTGGATTTTATTATTCTTAATTAGTAATACCTTTGCTTTCTATTAAAAGCCTTCATGTGTCTGGCATTAGCTCTGCCCTAGTCAGCAGGTAACACAATATGATGCCACCGTCTACAGTGATTAGTCAGGGACAGACAACAGCCCTCCATCTCCTAGAGGAGGGATCAGCACACCTTTCCTTTCAAGTAAGATAGTAAGATAATAACCATGTTTGCTTTTATGGGCCATAGTGGCGGGGGGGGGGGTGTCTTTCATATATTCTTGGAATGTTGTCTCTGAATAGTTTTTGAATATTATCCTTTAAAAAACATAAAAACCATTCTTCGCTCTCAGGCTATATCAAAACCCGCCATGGGTCAGACAGTAGTTTGCAGACCCTTGAACTGTCTTCCTCCAGATACTCATTCATTCAACAAAATTCGATCGCCTACCAAAAGCTGAGTACCACGCAGTAATTAAGGTGTTGAAGCTCACATTTACTACAGGTTAGGAATACAATCTGGATTCCTCCACCAACTTCAGTTCTACAAACAGCAACACTCTGGTTACCTCTACAACTGAATTTAATGTTCAAGTGACCAAATGCCAAGCATTCTTAATACCTGCCAACTGAAAATCAAAAATTCAGTGCTACCTTCCCCTTCTCCCACCACCCCCCTCCCCACCCCGCCTCAGTCTTAGCAAGTGCCAAGGTAAGAAAAGTCTGCAGCATGACTCCAGTTAGCAAGGCTTTTCCGTCTCGGAGTTTTACAGACTCCTATTGCAGAAGCTAATTTTAACTTCTGCATTTAAGCAAGTTTGCTAAGAAACATTTTCATGTTTTCATCCATCACTATCGACAAGTCTAAAAGGGAAAAGCATCAACCTTCCACATTTTAAAATAAACTGCTTTAGCAGTAAAGACACCTTTGTCATGACAGAATTCAGATACTAACACACACACAGGCTAAAAATAAGTCCTAATTTGGTCATTAAGTCACCCACAAGGCTCCACTCCCAGGTCAGCAAGGAGAGAAGCCCAAGACTTCACACCTAGGCTATCTAAGGGACTCAAATGTCACTGGACTTGCTTCTTGCAGGACACTCTTCCTAAAAGCCACATTACCCAAAGGCAAAGAAAAGAACAGAGGGAGAACTAAATGTGGAACAAGTGACCGACAGGCACGAAGAAGCATGACTAAGGACGGAGGCAGACAGATAGACATACACATTCTCCCTCTCGGGGAGGCATGTACACCCTGGCTCCACAGAATATTGCCGTGCAAGTATGTCAGGCCAATGTTGCCCAAATTTCCCATTTTGAGAGAGAAACCAGAAATTCACATTTTTATGTATCACAGAATTTTTAAATATTGCAAAAAATTTTACATTTCAGGGGCTCCAAACAAAAATGTTAAGTAAGGTTTTCCAGAGAATACACCATCAGAAGAGAAAGGAATGGTAGTTAAGGACATGCATCTAGCAACTGCACAATTACTGGAACTGTTATATAATGAAAGCAACTAACTTTTTTTTTCCTTTGGCAAATATATTAGGTCAGTTAATCTCATCACAATGCCAAAAGTTAAGTGCTATTATTATCCCCAAAGAGCAAACCAAGACAAAGAACAATTAAGCAAGCTGCCAGACCAGAGGTCACAGTGATCTAAAGTTTATCTGACTCCAGAATCTATCTGCTGTGCCATACAGTAAAACCGCCTACAGAGTAACCATTATTAATGGAAATTTGTCACGAATGTGCATGCTGTCATTTTTAAACTCAAAATTATTTGACCTTTTTTTGACATCTACAGCCTTACTCATTGGTATCACTTTGCCTACATTTTCCCTAGCCCATTTCCCAATTTTTCCTGTGAGCCACAGAAAGCAGAAACTGTCAAAATGTGTATGTTAATAACTATCTAAGAGCCCAAGAACTAAATTTCAAAGTTCTTCTGGGTCAGCTATTTCTGGAGTGCAGACCTTTTTTGGCTCACTTTCAGATTTAAGAACTGTATTCTGGAACATTATGAATGCCTGATGTTCAGACAACTATAGCTAGAAATTTTCTTACAATTTTAACATTTTCACTGAAAGTCACGGAACTGTCATACTGAATCCAGGCTTTATCACCCAAAGCTGTGTTACAGAAAAATAAGAACCTTTGCCTAAAACACATGGCATCTGGTAAATAAAATTATTGGATTTTTTTCTTGAGATTTGAGGTTTCAAAAGCCAAGATCCCACTAATGAAACTTGGAGCCTTACTCATGAAACTCCAAAGCTGAGCCCAGTGGGGACTGTCAAATATCCTCCTTTACAACAGGCCTGGTGGTAGTGGGAGGAAGGAGTGGGGGGAAAACAATTGCCTGGGGCTTAGAGTTTAATGCCACAACTTTCAAAAACTGTGATTCTCCAGGCAATATCCACAGATATCCCAATATTCCTTCCTTTCCCCAACCCCCCTTCCTAGTAACGAGTAAATTTTATAGCCCCCAGGTGGTTCCAATCTGCAGCCCAGACTGAGAACCACTGTTTTAAAATGAACCCGATCAAAGATCCCTCACACATAAGAGCAATCACAGAATTAAACCTTAACTAGGTGGTCTAAATATGTTCAACTACCTTAAACTTGTTTTCTTGTAGTCATGGATCTTATTTAAAAGTTAACAAATATCAGTGGGTTAATAAAATTATCCTGCCTCTTTCTGACTTCTCAGAGACCAATAAAGTACACCAGGCTAAGAAAAGGCTACATACACAGCTTTTGCTACTTAATTTTACGACAGAACATTCCTCCTTTGCTTTCCTTTCATTCATTCTCCTTTCCCCACCTGATGTCTGGCACTCAATGGAACAAATCCCTTTAAGAAATATAACCTTTAGGGGCGCCTGGGTGGCGCAGTCGGTTAAGCGTCCGACTTCAGCCAGGTCACGATCTCACGGTCCGTGAGTTCGAGCCCCGCGTCGGGCTCTGGGCTGATGGCTCAGAGCCTGGAGCCTGTTTCCGATTCTGTGTCTCCCTCTCTCTCTGCCCCTCCCCCGTTCATGCTCTGTCTCTCTCTGTCCCAAAAAAATAAATAAACGTTAAAAAAAAAAAAAAAATTAAAAAAAAAAAAAAAAGAAATATAACCTTTAAAACAAATCCTGAACGCTGGACAAAACATTTGGCTGCAGTGAAAAACTAATGTTTGAAATAAGTTCTACTGAATGGAATTAGATATATTTTGTTAGTAATTCTGCCATATTTGACTAAAATTAATCCTTTGGGAAATATATTGTTGCTACATCTGTGGACATGTGAGATCTTCTCTAGGACTTAGAAGCTTGTAATTCCCAGCAAAGGAGCAAAATAAATTGAACTACTGCCCAGGAATTTAAAAAGGAGAAATTGCAAAAACATGTCTTATTTGTATCTGTCCAAGTCAACTGCCAAAAGGAGTCTTAGGCCAGGCACAAAGATAACCACCATCTCACATCAGGTCTTTTTCAACAGGACTGATTGCTCATGAACCTTGAGAGTTTTGTTTTGTTTTTAGTCACATTTGAAAGAATAGGCTCCTCTCTCTCACTGTCAAGGGAAAAAAAAAAAAAGTAATGAGCAAAGGGATGAAAAAGTTTCACATGCTAAGAATAGTGGCTCTAAAATTTTCTAAGGAAGAAGGTTTCAAATAAAAGTAATAGGGGCGCCTGGGTGGCGCAGTCGGTTGAGCGTCCGACTTCAGCCAGGTCACCATCTCGGGGTCCGTGAGTTCGAGCCCCGCGTCGGGCTCTGGGCTGATGGCTCAGAGCCTGGAGCCTGTTTCCGATTCTGTGTCTCCCTCTCTCTCTGCCCCTCCCCCGTTCATGCTCTGTCTCTCTCTGTCCCAAAAATAAATAAAAACGTTGAAAAAAAAAAATTAAAAAAAAAACAAATAAAAGTAATGGTAACTGTGACCCAGAATCTAGAAATGTAGATTATATAAATTTGAGGGCACCAAATTTATGAAGGCAGTGAGTTATAGAAAAACCTCTTTCAAATTTTTGTTTGAAAACTATTATTTTAAATATGCCACAGAACTTGATACCGTGTGTATTTAAGAACTACATTTAAGAACTTGTAAATGAGACTCCCACTCATTTTCTTGAATTTAGGGTGGTATCCGTTTTCCTAATGATGAATCATACAAAATCAAAGTAATTCCAATTAGAAGCTGGTGCTTATTTTGGGATGAGCACTGGGTGTTGTACGAAAACCAATTTGACAATAAATTACATATTAAAAAAAAAAAGCTGGTGCCTCTAAGTTTTTTTTTTTGTTTGTTTAATTTTGAGAAAGAGTGTATGCACACAAGCAGGGCAGAAGCAGAGACAGAGGATCCAAAGCGGCTCTGTGCTGACACCCAACGTGGAGCTCAAACTCAAGAACCATGAGATCATAACCTGAGATGAAGTCAGATGTCCAAATGACTGAGCCACCCGGGTGCCTGTGGTACTTGTAAGTTTTTGAAAATTCAGTGTTATTTAACAAATTCATCTGGAAACTGGAGAGACCGGACTATTTATTAGCAAACTTTCAAAAGACTGAAAATCTAAATATAGGAAATACAATGAATCAGTCTAATAGGGCCAACATTTCTCTTTTATACTGAAAAAGTAAAAAAAAAAAAAAAAAAAAAAAAAAAAGAACTGCTTGCTTTAGGGAGAGAGAATAGGGCTCCCTATTAGCTGCTGTGGCTAAAAGGGAAAAAGTAATAGAAGGAAAATCATTTTCTTTAAAAAGAAAACGCTCTCTATATAAACAAAAACTGTGGAGGACTAAGAGTGGTAAATGCTCAAGAATCTATCTATAGAAAAGGAATACTATTAAGTATTTTTTATAAAGAGCCAAGAGTGTCAAGATTTTTGTCAGCTTTTTTCAATAAGAGACATTTTAGGCAAGTATCCTGTGTTTCTACATACAGTACCCTTATTCAGTGGAAACAAACAAATGGAATGTGTACCACTCACATACAATGACATTAAGATTTTATTTTAATTAAAGGGGGTCAATTTTTAATTTTTAATTTTAAAGGGGGTCAAAGGGTAAAAAGAAAAAGTTTATTGGCTTTGGAGTTACCCTACTTACCCCAGGACAGGAAACAAAAAAGAAAGAAAAGGTTTAACTGAAGTCCCCCAAATAATAGAACCACCAGGCTCATCAAGGAAGACCCTTTGTGTGTATTATCAGAATTTACAACTGAATTACCAAGTGCTTCATACCCATCACCTTCGCAAAGGTAGGGAGAAAAAGACACACCCTGCCTTTTATTCTTTTGCCTCAACAGGTTTTGAGACCTAAATGCAAACAAAGTTCATTCTATATGTTAGTATATTGAAGCACCAGTTATTTGTTTGGAGCCCAGAAGAATCACCACCTGAGAAGTCATCAAGCAGCTTTCCTTGAGCTCTGGGATTGCCAAAAAACACTACTAAAGGAAACCATTCAAGTAACTTTTTCTTTTTCTCTTTTCAGAAGTACTGCTAATCTGTAAGGACAAAAAGTAGTAAACTATAATTCTAACACATGTCCCTTTTTCCCCCCAACATTAAGAAACAATGTTTGTTTTAAAAAAATAAAAAACGCTCATAAAAATAAAGTGTTTCACAAACTAAATCTGCCTCATTATGTGCCATTTTCTGCTACAAATCACACATATAACAAAGTCACACATAAAAGCCACTGAAGGCAAAAATTTATCAAGTTCAGTTTCTCTCGCTTATGCTAGCTCCATCATGAATAACATACCTGCTTAAAAAATAAAACAAAGCAAAACAAAACAAAAAAAACCAACCTGAGATAATTTTCAAAGGAAATTAAAAATTGAGCTTTAACAGCAAAATGAAATAATTCATCTTCTAGAAGTAACTTATTCATAAAATTTCCTCATCCTATTTTCACGTATCTGTAATTTAAAAGGTGTTTAGAGTATTTCATCAAGCCTCCTCTAACGTTTTCATGCTCCTCTAGCCTTTGCCAAGTATTGCCACACATAACTGTCTACGCCTAGAAATGTATATAGATGACAATAAAATCTGAAAGGACAGAATTTTCTTTTGACTAAAGACATGTGGAAACTTTCAATTAAAATTTGTAAAAACTGGAACATAACACATCATTCCCAGATCAATTTGTTTTATTTTTAAACAGATTTCTTTAAGAACATCTTTTAGACATACAGAGCGCTGCCTTCATGGCTAAACTGTTAAACATGAAGGATGACTTTTGGTTTCTATCTGTTGCAATTTTTATTAAGTCTATAAAAACAATGACTCTCCTCTATCAAGCTTCATAATGCTTTTGTTTGAAGTCACCCCCCACCACCAATTTTTGACTGCTAACTTCAGAGATGGTCCTTTGCTGTTTGAAACTTTTATCACTACGTATAGTGTGTTTTCTCAACCAGTTCCCACCCACAACCACTTCCTCTTAAACCACACTAGTACCTTTCTCCTCAATGGTTCACATGTTCTACCCCAGCTATAAGCTATATATAGCATATATCACTTCAGTGAATAGGAGGAACTGGCTTTTTGTGGCACTCATATGTACAAGGTTTTATTCCACTTACTCCAAAGGATTTTGTTATTTTTTCCCTTTGAAAGTAATTAATCAAACATCCCAAATAACACAGCCATCATAGTTTCATTTACAGACTGACATCAGATAATATCAAAGCACTACTACAGAATGTCACTAAAAGCAAGCACTCTATAGATACAAAAGAAATATTAATAAAAGGAAACTAAATGATTTTCCATTAATGCCGTTAGTAAGTAACTGAGATTCCCAGTCCGAAGCTGAAAGGACACAGCTGAAAATAATGTCCATCTACTGGCTTATTAAAGCTAAGATGTTTGTCAAAAGCACTGAGCATTTAAACCTATTGTAACCTGTTCAGAAATTGCTTCACTGAGTCAAAAGGCCCAATCACGGTATTGCTATGATATCCTTGGTCTGCATGATAAATTGCTATCTCGTACATATCTCTCACCAAAGAAAAATTATAAATACCACCGTAGTACATTTCTACCCCAGGCTTAGACTGGAAATGAGTCTATCTTAAGCATGATCACAGACAGTAACACACAAAACACAAATGGTAAGGTCTATGTAAAGAACTCAAGTCTCAGTGCTTAGAACTCATGTTACAAGGTGATTTAGTGCTTGCTTTGAGTCAGTGAACTCCAGGAAAGTTTATTTGCAAGGTGAGACTCTAACAGTCACTCTAGCAAAATCCAAAAACTGAAGAAAGACTTCCAGTAATTACTAACTGAAGATTAGTTGAGGTGTTCCAAGTATCAGAACTTTTCCAGAATAAACATTTCGGGAAAGAGTCCAAGATATAAAATAGCTTATGTGTGTATATAAATCACACATAAGCTAAGAAATTAAGTGCTAGACTCTAAAAGAAAGGCAAAGAGATTAAATCACATTCTGGTATCAAATCTAATCTTCATTCCTACAGTGAAAATTCCCTTTAATGTTCTCACTTTTTTTGTTGTTTTAATTTGTTTGTTTTAATTCCAGTACAGTTAACATACACTGTTATATTAGTTTCAGGTGGACAGTACAGTGTTTCAACAACTGTATACATTACTCAGTGCTCATCATAAATGTATAATTTTCCCACTTCTCATCTTTATCATCTCCAAAAGTATGAATTTCTAACTTATTTTCCTTTAAAAAAGAATAGTACTTTCTTCCCATCTCAAATAGTTGATTGGATTCTAATTTTTGACACTTAAGTTGACAGTACATCTTTGTCATTTGATTTCACTACATACTTGTCATTTACTTTTAATATGGAAAAGTAGAATTTTACACTCCAGTCTTTTGATATTGAATTCTATGTCAAAAATGAAGAGCAAATAAACTTACCTTCAGAGAATCAACTAAATCATCAACTAAAAAGAGGCGTCTCAGTTCTTTTATCGTGCAGTTCACATGACCAAGAGCAGAATTACTGTATTTCTGAACCAACTCCTCAGATATAGCAACTTCAGATTCCAAATATGCCCTGGAAAACAAAACACATCCTGTCACTGATCAGAGTGATTTTTCCTGGATGTCTGTCAATCAGCAATTACATATCTGTAAAAAAAGACATTAACAAAATACTTTACCATAAAAAACCTACTCTTTCTAAATGAAGCACAATGTAAAAATTCACCAAGCAATGGGTAGATTTCATTGATATGCACGCTGTCAGCTGATGAGCACAGAAAAAAGCATTTGCTTTCAAGTCAGACTGATCTGGGCTTGAATCTTAAACTCTGCCACTTACTTGTCTTGTGTCACTTTGGAAAGTTACTATCATGAGGAGTCACTGAATAAAGTGCTTCTTAACACAAGCAGGCACAAAGAAGCACTCAATAAATGGTAGTTATTATTAGGGACTTGGTTTTTTTTCTTCAAGCTGACATTAGGCTGTCATTGGGTTTTCCTAACAAAGATTCTATCTGTTCCCAAATACTACACTCTCGCAGCCTAACTTTCAGGGGAAACTACCCAATATCTCAAGGCCCAGGCTGTGAAATGGCTGCCGGAAGTATAGTGCTAATGCTAGTAAAACATAATAGTTACTGCCCTTTTAGATGCCCTAATCTATACTAAGATAGCTAGAATTGTTTTATTTAAGAAGAGAACTGTAATGA